GTGAGATGCTGCACGGGACAAATGGAGCAGGGAAGGGGGACACAGCTGGGGCTGCTTCCTGATGCCACCTGCAGAAGCCACCTGTGCACAGGAGCAGAGCCTTGGTGGCACAAGGCCAGCTCTGGGTTTGGTCTGGACAGCAAAGCCCCGGAGTTGCAGAGCAGGAAGCAGCTCCGGGGAGTGACGCAGCTGCCCAGGAGGAGCCGCTTTGCCAGCACAGGGAACACCTTGGCCAAACAGGGAGCGTCCCTGGGTATGGGAGCCGCTGCCACGGGGCACGGAGCTGCCCTGGGCACCCTGGTTCTGGCAGGAGCCTGTGCAGGCTCTGCCCCCAGCCCTTTGGCACAACAGGTAGCAGGTTTTAAGGGCCAGCTCAGGGCAGTGGCTGTTGGCAGCTCTTGATGGCCAACAATTTTTATTTTTTTGGTGTATTCCAATCTCTCCCAGTTTAGACTCCAGTTCCTGCTATGATTCTTCCCGGAGTACTGGACTAGACCACTGAAATGTGGCCAATCCAAGCCTGACTGTGCACAGTGCTCGCTGCTTTTGGAGCTTTGCTGACAGTGCTGGTGCTCACGGGTGCTGTGTCCCTGCAGCTGGAGGGAGGGAGAGGGCCCTGAGGAGGAGGGTGATGGGCAGGGGGCTTGTGGGGAGCAGATCCATGCAGAGCCCGGATCAGGAGTCCTGGGCTGAGAGAGTAAGGGAATAGAAGGCTCCAGGGAGACCTCAGAGCCCCTTCCAGTGCATGACGGGGCTCCAAGAGAGATGAAGAAGGACTTTGGGTAAGGGCCTAGAGTGCCAGGACAAGGAGCAGTGGTTTCCCTCTGCCAGGGGGCAGGGGTGGATGGGATATTGGGAATTAGGAATTGTTCCCTGTGAGGGTGGGCAGGCCCTGGCACAGGGTGCACAGAGCAGCTGTGGCTGCCCCTGGATCCCTGGAAGTTTGAGGCCAGGTTGAATGGCCTGAGCAACCTGGTTTAGGAAAAGGTGTCCCTGCCCAGGAGAGCAGTTGGAATGAGTTGGGCTTTAAGTTCCCTTCCAACCCAAACTGTTTCAGGATTCTGTGGTGGAGGACAAAGGGGGCACGACCCAGTTCTGTTCACCAGCTCTCCAGCAAGGTGAGGCAGGACTGGATCCAAAATTGACTTTTTGGTATTTTCTGCCCACTGACCTCCCTGAGACAGAAAGACACATCTCAAGGACTGTGACACAGAGTAATTCTGGGGTGAATTTCACTTATCCAGAACATTTCTGATTAACTGTGAGGCCCTGAAATACATTTCCTTCAGAAGAGGTTCCTGTCAGAACCAAATGAGCACATCCTGTCCCATGGGGCTGCCCATGAGAGGCCCTGGGGCTGTGTGGGGTTCCTCCCTCACCTCTCTGTTCCCCTCAGTATTTCACATTGGGCATTTTCCCCTTCCCTGCACGTTCTCCCAGGAACACCAAGGCTGCAGACTCTCAGGAGTGTGTCTGTCTATCACCTGTTGCTGTTGCAGGTGCTCTGAGCAGCAGGTCCACGACGACCTCCCGAGCACCAGCATCATCATGTGCTTTGTGGATGAGGTGTGGTCCACCCTGCTGCGCTCCGTGCACAGCGTCCTCAGCCGCTCTCCTGCACACCTCATCGAGGAGATCATTCTGGTGGATGACTTCAGCACCAAGGGTGGGTGAAGCTTCTGCTGCCTTTATGAAACTAATTTAACTTGAGGGCAAAATGTGATTTGTTCTCTGTAATTCAATTCTAAGTAGGAGAGAAATCACATTTTCTCCTTCTGCTGTATTGAAGTGCATCCCTGGCTCGCACTGGGGCTGAGGGGGATCAGAGGACAGGGGGGTGCTGGGGCTGTGAGGGATGAAGGCTGAGGCTGCTGGAGGCTCCAGGAGCACCAGGGAGCTGGGTCCTGCCCAGCCCATTTGTCTTTTGGCTCAAGGGCTTGTGCAGTCAGGAGATGCTCTCCCCCCTCAGTGTGCAGCTCCAGGCAGGCCCCTGTTCCAGTGTGGGGCCACACTCTGGGCTGGCTCAGAGGACAGGGGGCTGCAGTGGGAGCACTGGTGAGCCAGGATTTGTGCTGCACAGTGCCTTCCATCAGCATTTCAGCTGGTACCCACCCCTGCCTTGTGGTGCTTCTGCTCTCTGCTGAGTTCAGCCTTAGAAATTTAGGAATGATGTAATTTCCTGTCTTGGTTTGAAAGACAGGTTTTTTTTAAGAAATGGACAATGTAAATCCCCTCCCTCCAAATTATTCTAATTCTGAAATTAAGGAACTTTCAGGCAAAGATGTGGGAATAGGAATAACAGTTCTTTACTAGGGAAAATTAAAATAAAAGTACAGTAATAAAAACCAAAAAACAAACAAAGCAGTGTCAGAGTGAGAATCCAATCTGACACTCTGTCAGTCAGTCAGGGTTGGTGCAGTCCCATTCCATGGTGGCTGCATCCTCCTGCAGTGACAGATGTGGTTCTGCTGGAGCAGGGCTCCTGCACAAGGTGCAGTTTTCCTCCAAAGCTGCAGGGATGATGTGCAAGGCTCTGGTTTTCCTCTGGGATGCAGTGGGAAAAGGCTGCTCTGCTGTTCCAAATCTCCCCTTTGATCTGGGTAGGAAATGCTCGGCTCCTGCCCTGGCTGGAGCATCTCCCAATGGGATGATGGAATTTGATCAGCCCTGCCCTGGGACTGCATGGCCATGAACAGGAGAGATCTCCTGGAGGGAGGATGGGCTGTGGGGAAGATAAAAACCCCATCTGGTTTAACAGCTGGGATAGAACACACACTGCTGGCCACAGCCTGATTTGCAAACCAAGACATTTCCTCACTGCTGGCTCTCCAGGAAAAGTGCTGTCATCTTGCTCAGATGGGCTCCAGAGCCCACACCATGCACACGAGGAGGCGTGCCCCGTGCCCACATGTTCACATCCTGTGCCCACATGTTCACCTCCCGTGCCCAGATGTTCACACTCTGTGCCCAGATGTTCACACCCCAGACCTGAGGGCCTGGAGGCTGTTCCAGGGAAAGTCTGCTAGTGGCTTTCCATCCTGTGGGAGGGTGGCAGTGGGTCAGCCAGATCCCTCTGTCCCCTCTGCAGAGTACCTGAAGGAGCAGCTGGACACGTACATGGCACAGTTCCCCAAGGTGAAGATCCTGCACCTCCAGGAGCGGCACGGGCTGATCCGGGCCAGGCTGGCAGGAGCAGAGATCGCCAAAGGTAGGGCAGATGTTCACACCCTGAGTTGTGTTCCAGCCATGGGGGGACCCCAGGGTGCTGGGCGTCCCTCTCCAGCGCTTGTTTGTCCCTCTCAGTGCAGCCAGCCTTTCTTTTTACCAGCATCTCCAGCCCCAGCTCCCCACCTGCCCCGGCTGGGCTGTGTCAACACCGAAATGGCCACTTCTGTCAGGAGCTGCCCTGCCAAGCAGGGAAGAAACATTCTGGGCTGGGGCTGGGCAGCTCTGGGGAGCCAAGGAGGGTTGTGGCACAGTCAGCAGCACCCTGAGCCCACAGGGTGCCTGGGGAGCTGCTCAGCAGGGGCTGGGTGGGAGTGCCCGAGGCCTGATCCTGCCCCACCTGTGCACAGGTGCTGTCCTGACGTTCCTGGACTCACACGTGGAGTGCAATGTGGGGTGGCTGGAGCCGCTGCTGGACAGGGTCCGCCTGCGCCGGACCAAGGTGGCCTGCCCTGTCATCGAGGTCATCAGTGACAAGGACATGAGGTGAGACAGGGACATGAGGTGAGGCAGCCCCTCCCTGGCGGTCCCACAGTCCAGACTGGTGTCCTGAGCAAAACCCACCAGTGGATCCATTTCAGACACTGGATCCATTTCAGGCAGGATCCATGACAGGCAGTGGATCCATGACAAGCAATGGATCCATGACAGGCAATGACTCCAGACCCCCTCACCAGCCCCCAGCTCTACACAGGGCACACAGAATATAAATCAGAAATTAACATTAGCTGTTGATGTGGCCTGTGTTTATCACACACCTTTTCACTTTCTCACTACTTTCAGTACATGAAATTTCTGATGAAATTTGTTAAAATCCTGGTTTAATTACCTACAGATACTCATCTTCACTCATTAGGGGTGACATTTCAATCAGGACTGTGTCTCAGAATTAGTCAGCCCAATCTTATTTCTGTTTAGTTACATGACCGTGGACAACTTCCAGCGTGGGATTTTTACCTGGCCAATGAATTTTGGATGGAGGCAGATTCCACAAGAGGTCATCGAGAAAAATAAAATCAAGGAGACTGATATAATAAGGTAAAAGAAAGGAATGTGAGAGCTTTGCAAACCAGCCTGTTCCTTTGGTGATAATTTAGCAGCAAAGGCTCCTTTGAGGCCAAATGTTGTTCTTCTGTGGCCAAGTCTTGTTCCTGTGCTCTCCAGGCCAGCTGAGGCACAGGCAATCCCCCCATCAGGCAAAACCCACAAGCATTTCTCCCCACGCATGGCACTGCTGGCATGTCAGCCAGAACATCCCCTCTGCCTTTCCCCCTTCCCTGCCCCATTCCAGCTGTCAGGCCAGGTAAAGCCATCCAAATGCCCTCTGTGTCACAGCCCCTGGCACACCCTGTGCCTCTCTGTCCCCAGGTGCCCCGTCATGGCAGGTGGCCTGTTCTCCATCGATAAGAAGTATTTTTCTGAGCTGGGAATGTACGACCCAGGACTGGATGTCTGGGGAGGGGAAAATATGGAGATTTCATTCAAGGTAGGTGACTGTCACACACCTGTACCCCTCCCTGCCAGGCTGGGTGAGGGATGGGGCTCAGGCAGGGGATCCCCAGGGACATCCCATCTCCCTGGGCCCCTGCCCTCTGCTTCCCTTGGCTTGCACAGAGCCCACACCACCGTGTGTGTCTCCAGCAGTGGCCTCTGTTTCTCAGGTCTGGATGTGCGGAGGAGAGATCGAGATAGTCCCGTGCTCCAGAGTGGGGCACATTTTCAGGAATGACAATCCTTATTCCTTCCCCAAAGACCGGGTGAGGACGGTGGAGAGGAACCTGGCCCGCGTGGCAGAGGTGTGGCTGGACGAGTACAAGGAGCTGTTCTATGGCCACGCCTACCACCTGCTGCAGGGCAGCGTGGACGTGGGCGACCTGGGCCAGCAGATCCAGCTGCGCAAGAAGCTCCAGTGCAAAACCTTCCGCTGGTACCTGCAGAACGTGTACCCCGACCTGGAAGCTCCCCTGGTTAAAGCCAGCGGGCTGGTGAGTACCCAAGGGTTTCACTGCTCCGGGGGATGGCTGTGCCCAGGGCAGCATCCCCCACACTGCTGCTGCTGCTGTGCTGCTCCAAAACACGGCAGCGTTTGGGGGCTTTGAGATGGCACAGAGCTCTGCATTCCTAGAAGGAAACAGAGCTCTGCATCCCACTGCATTTTTATAAAGAAACAGAGCTCTGCATCCCACTGCATTCTTATAAAGAAACAGCTCTGCATTCCACTGCATTTTTATAAAGAAACAGAGCTCTGCATTCCACTGCATTCCTATAAAGAAACAGGTCCCAGATAGAAGGGATGGTTTCCCTCCAGGGAGCTGGGTGGGTGTTTGGGTGGCTGAGCTGGACACACGGCAGGGCCGGGACAGGATGTGCCCCGGGGCCGGGTGTGCCCTCGGGGGCAGAAATCCCTCCGTGCTGGGAAGTCCCGAATCCGAGGGGGTCCCGGGGGATCCCGCCCGCGCTCCCTGCCCCGGCTCGGGGGCCGCAGTGCAGGGTGGGGTCTGTAGGGCCGGGCTCTGTAGGGCCGGGCTCTGTAGGGCCGGGCTCTGCAGGGCCGGGCTCTGTAGGACCGGGCTCTGTAGGACCAGGCTCTGTAGGGCCGGGCTCTGTAGGACCGGGCTCTGTAGGGCCGGGCTCTGCAGGGCCGGGCTCTGTAGGATCTGTAGCACGGCTCCGCCGCCAGCAGGGCGCAGCAGCCGCTCGCGTTCCCGGCGCTGCGGGACAGGCACCGCTCCGGGCACGGAACCTGCGCCTCGCCGGGGGCAGCGGGCACAGAACGCTTTAAAGTCCTTTTGGATTCAGTGCTGCCTCCGCAAGCCCCTTGCTTTTTCTCCACCAAAGAACTCAAGAACTGTTTAGGTGGAAAGGGGCCTTAAAGCTCAGCTTATTCCATCCCCTGGCACGGGCTGGGACACCTGGCACTGGAGCACGCTGCTCCAAGCCCCGTCCAGCCTGGCCTGGAACACTCTTTTCTGCCTCCCTTAGTTATGTGAACAGTACTGATCAGAACTGTGAACCCAGCAGGGCTGTGTAACATCCTCTCCCTCTTCCTGGGAATTTATGGCTAAATCTGCATTTTGTTGCTGTTTCCCAGCTCACTAACGTGGCCCTGGCAGGGTGCATCGCTGTGGAAGGCACCACCCTGGTTTTTGAGAAGTGTGATGTTAACAGCACGGTAAGGACAGCCTGCACACACCCGGCTGTGTCACACTGCCTGTGGCACTTGGAGCTCCCCTGGTGACCTGTTCCCTCCCCTGTCCCCTCCCCTGTCCCCTCCCCTGTCCCTTCCCGGAGCTAACAGCCCTTCCCACCCCGGGACATGGCCAGGCGGTGCCTGGGAGCAGCCAGGGACAGGAATTGCCTGCTGGCACAGCCTGCAGACAAGCAACAGTGTCAGAAACAGCAAATCCAGCTGGTTCAGAAAGTTTGATAAAGCTGTGAGTGTGCACATGAAAACAGAGAAACAGTTAAATACCAGCCTGTGATTTGTGTCCAGCTGTACCTTAGAGCCCTTTCAGCGCCAGGACCCCGAGAGGAGGGCCCAGAGTGACCGGACACAGGGAATGGCTTCCCGCGGGCAGGGCTGGGTGGGATTTTGGGCAGGAATTGTTCCCTGGGAGGGTGGTGAAGCCCTGGCACAGGGTGCCCAGAGCGGCTGTGGCCAGCCGTGCCGTGCAGGCTGACGGGGCCGTGTCTGTTGTGCTCTCTCCCCACAGAAGCAGCAATTCAACTACACGTGGCTGAGGCTGGTCCAGCACGGGCAGCTCTGCCTGGCCCCGTCGGGCGTCCTGGGAGCCGTGGGCATGCGCCAGTGCCAGCCCAGGAGCCGCAGCCTGGCCTGGCTGCACAGGTCACTGGCCACTGCCCAGCCGGGGCTGGTGAGTGATGCTGCAGCCCCTGCCCTGCCTGGGACAGCTAGCACAGGGGCATCCCACCCTCTGTTTTAGCTGTCCCCTAGACCCCCACATTCCCCTCTGCCAGGGGTTGTGTCCATCTCAGTGCCGAGCATCCAGGAGGGGACACTGGGGGACGTGCCAGGCACTGCTGCTGCAGCAGCAGCAACAAAACAGCCTGGTTGTACACAGAAACCATCAATAGCACTTAAAGGGAGATGAGTCACTATCGACTGGCTCCCAGCTCACAGGGGTTTTTAAAGACAGCATTTATGGGAAGGAAAAGAATGGATACTTACACTAATTGCCTGTGCTGCACAAATGGTCATGGCTGTACCTCTGTCAGCCTGGTGGAAGTAGTTGTCCAAAAATGCTCTGAAATGGCATAGTCTATTGTTGAGGAAAAAACACCCTTCACTTAAGAAAGAAAAAATGTAGTTGAATTACACATTCAATATACAGAGCATTTCCTGTTCCTCTTTGGCTTTTTAGCCTAAAGTATTAAGTGCCAGAATGCCACAGGCTCACTTTGGGTGTTTAGGGAAAAATACGGGAAAATTTTTATCCACTTACTGAAAATTGTGAAACTGTCATTTCACTTTGTGAAAAATATGCAGAAATGCCCAGGGAGCTGTATGGGGCACGGGCAGGTCTTGTCTCCTGTTCCAGCCTGATTTCTCAGCAGAGGGTGAGATGGATTTGGTGGCGCTCTTTTACTGGTGCCAGCAGCCGGAGTCTGAGGAGAGCTCAGTGGCTCTGCCCGAAGGAGTTGCAGTGCTTTACCCTCTCCTGACACCAGGCATTGTGCTGTCCAGTGATGGGAAGTGCAGTTCCTGTCTGCACAAAGATGCAGCTCCTGCCCTCCACATGTCACATCGGGAGTGTCTCACCTCGGTGTCAGTGAGTGACTCCTGAGAGTCACTGCAGGGCAGGGAGTGGCACAGGAATGGTCCTGGCCTGTGGCAGCATCACCAGGCTGGCCACAGGGCTTAGAGGGTTAATCGAAGCAGATGTGAAAAGCAGAAGGATGGAGGGCACTCAGACTCTTTGTTCTCTCACTGCCCAGTGTGCTGCCCCAGCACCTGAGCTCCGGGGCTGAGCTGCCCAACATCCTGTTCATCAGGGCTGAGTTCATCAGCCAACAACCCAAAACTCAGAACTCAGTCTCCTGCTGTGCATGCCCTGTGTGCAAATCCCACCTGAGTGACTCCCTCAGCTTGGCCATTGCCACACAGGCAGTGAGAGCTCCTCTCTGCTCCCAGCCAGGGACAAGCCAGGAGGAGCAGCGGGTGTGGGGTGATCCTGGCTCAGCAGCAGCTGCAGGCTTGGATCCCTCACCAAAGCCCTGTGAGTCAGCAGGGATATCTCAGGAGTTAGGGACGAGCAAAAAGGGCCCACAGCGAGGAGTTGGCTTTCTCAAAATGGAGCTGCTGCTGCTGCTGCAGGGGCCCTACAGCCTGAGCACCCCCTAAGGCTGAGCCCCCCAAAGCCCAGCTCCCCTAAGCCCTCCTGTCTCTCCTGCAGACCGAGCACCTGATCTCAGAGCAGCAGCACCTCCCGCAGCCATCGTGCCTGGCCGTGCACCCCTCGTTCAGAGCGCTGCGGGTGACAGCCTGTGACCCCACCAGCCCTCACCAGAAGTGGCACTTTGGCTCTTACCACGCGGACTGAGGCACCAGGACCACCCTGAGGTCACCGTGGGCTCAGCAAGGACAATCCTGGGGCTGGCAGCAGCTCCCAAACGGGAAGTGTGTTCCCACATGAGAACTGAAATGTGTGATTTGATAGCAGCACACGAGAACAGCCAGAGCACACGTCTGCCATGGCAGTGCCTGAACTGATCCTGATCATTGCCCTCGCCATAGGAGACTTTGGGAAAAACTCGTTTTCTGTATTATTAAATGGAAATATTTTTGAAGTCCCCATCCTACTGTAAGCAAGCATCCCTCAGTTCTCCCCAACAGCAGCATAAGCTACAGAAATACTTCCAGGGCCCTGGAAGTCTGTAAGCAGCAAATTGGGCTGCCAATTCCTCCACAGAAACTGGAAATTTGTTGACCAATGCATCAAAAAAATCCAACACCATGTCCACGCTGGATCTGGCAGCAGGATCCCTCCCTGTGGGAGCTGTTGTGTGGCAGGTGAGGGTCAGGGTTCTGTGAGGAATCAATTGCAAATCAATAAAACTCACATTTTATAGTGGGAGGTCACATTTTATAGTGGGAGGTGGTGTGGGGGTCAGTCCCACCCAGGGGCTGTGGGGAGGCCTGGAGCAGGGAGCCAGGGTTTATCCTGCTTCTTGCCAGAGGCACATTCCAGGGGCCAGCCTGGAGCTCCTCTTCCCAGGGCAGCCGGGCTGTCCCTCCCTGGGGCTGCTCAGCCGTGTCCCCAGAGCTCTCTGGAGCTCTCCAGGAGCACTGCTGCTCCCCCCAGCCAGGCTCTGCACACCAAACCCCCTCTGGGCTCACTGCCGCGTGTTTACTGTGAACTTCTTCATCTCCAAAATGCACCACCAGTCACCGCTGGGATGGATTTGATGAGGGAATAAATTCTGTGTGTCAAGGTTGTGGTGTTGTCCAGGGTAAGTAACACCAGGCAGGGTTCCTACCCCTGTTCCCATTGGGAATTCCTGCTCTGGGATGCTGCTCCCTGTACCCTGTGGGAGGCAGCGCTTCTCCTCCTGCCCCCCTGCCCTGTGCTGAGCTGAGGAGCTGCTCAGGGCCGAGCATGGCACTCACAGCTCCTGGCACTGCTGGCACAGCCGAGCCCCAGTCCTGCCTCACAGCCCCCTCCTCTCCTGTGGGTCTGCAGAAGGGCACAGCACTACCTGTGACATGGTGGATCAGCGCTGACAGCATCTGACAGGCTCAGTCTGCCAAAATATTGACTGGCACAAGAGATTTTCCCAGTTGACTCCTATTCCAACTGTCTTCCTGATTTTCTGTCCCTCCTTCAGCGCAGCTAGCCCGCAGTCACCATCAGAAAAATGACACAGACGTTGTTTGGGCAGTCAGCTCGTATCAGGAGCATGGATTTCATCAGATTCTGTTTGCTGACATTCAATCACTTGTCACCGAGCAGGCAGCAGGCGCTCATATGTCACGGTCACATCCCATCGCCAGCCCTGTCACTCGCCCGCTCCTGGAGATGCTCACTTCCCTGCTGGATCCTTGCTCAGGGACTGCAGGGAGCCTGGGGGCTGCTGGCCGTGAGCTGGGGCCCCGCTGCTGCTCAGAACTGAGAACATTCCGAGGGCACCAGTCAGCCCAGTCTTCCAGAAACGAGAGCATTTTTCCGGCAGCTCCTGCCCACGGACACCGGGGCTGCAGGGAGCAGCAGGGCCGGGCAGCAAGGCACCACGGGTGGGAAAACCCATAAAAACCCATGCTTGGGATGGGCAAAGGAGTCCCTGATGTCCTCGGTGTTAAAAAAAAAAAAAAAAAAAAAAAAAAAAAAAAAAAAAAAAAAAAAAAAAAAAACAGGAATAAATGCTAATAGATGAAGCTGCTTCCTCTGAGCACAGTGTGTTAAATCTGACCAGCTTGGACCCTCTCTAGGGGCTCCTCCCGAGTTACTGCCAGGCTGAACCCTACAGCATCACCCCAGAGAGAGCCCTCACAGCAGCAATCCCCTGATCTGATTTCTGGCTGTGCTGGCTCCCCGTTCTGCAGGGCAGGGCAGTAGCTGAGCTGTTGCTGCAGCTGTGGCAGGAGTGTGACAACTCTCACAAACCGTGCCGTGGGTTTCAGCTCTTTCCAGGCATCACCAGCACTCTCCTCAAGGCTCCGCCTCTTCCTCACCTGCCATCAGCCCGCACCCGGCACGGCAGGAGTGGAGAAAAGGGATTTTGGGGCTGTGGTTGCCATGCCCAGGTCAGCATGTGCCTGGAAGAGCGAGCTCCCGGCTCTCGGGGTGTCCCTCGCCCTCTCAGGCCATGCCGGAGACCGAACCCCGTGCATGGCCTGGGAGCCCCTCGCTGTCACCACAGCCGCCGGAGGCTCAGGGATGGTGGGAAGGGCTCTCAGCCCCCACGAGCATCCCGGCACTTTTATTTTTTCACCTTTTTTTTTACCCAGGAAAGCAGGAGAGGGCGCTGCGGTTCTCAGCTGAGCAAACGCCGCTTTGCAAGGAAGGTAAACAGCGAGTCCAAGGTTTTAAAAGTCTTGGGGAGCCTTTCCCACCGAAAGCTCACAAAGACTGATAGAACCAGAGTGGTTTGGGCTGGAAGGGACCTTAAAGCTCATCTCGTTCCACCCTCTGCCATGGCAGGGACGTTTCCGCTGTCCCCGGCTGCTCCCAGCCCTGCCCAGCGTGGCTCTGGGACCACCACAGCCTCCAGGAGGGACGTGTCACCCCGGAGCAGCTGCCAGCAGGAACAGACCCACAGTATAAGTTGGTACAAGCGAAGCTCAGAACTTCCCCAGGCCAAGGAGCAAACAAACAAGTGTGAATGGCACAATGAGGGCTATGTCTGCTGGCACAATGCAGAATTGCCCTGTATTATTTTCACGTTGCCAATAAATAATTGCCTTTATGTAGAACAAGAAAAGTCAAAGCGATATTCAGTGCTGCTGGAGATGTAAAACTAATCCTTAAAAAGGCACTTATGGCTGCAGGAGGCCCTGTATAATTCCATGCTCACCTCCTCTCCCTTGCCAGCTGTTCTCTGCTTTCCCAGATGCTTTCTGGGACGACAAGTGCAAAGCTAAGTCCCAGCTCCAGACAAATCTGACTGTAAAACACTTTTAAAAGATTGCCACCACTGCATGGTGCTTACACAAAGGTCTTTCAAAATGGAGAAGGGTAATATCCAGGTGAGACAAATATAATGGATTAAAACTCACCTGGCTTTGACAAAATAATCTTTAAAATTTTGGGTCTAAACTGAGGATGAAAATCGAGAAGGCACCTAAGAGAGTCTGAGCTGGTGGCATTGGGACAGTAGGTGTCCCTGGTAGTGCCAGGCTTACCAGCTGCACACGGGCACGGGCAGGGAGGTGCCAGGGGAGCTGCTGCCCTCGGGGCCAGCCCAGACCCGGCTGTGCCTCTGGGGATGGCACTGGCCACCGGTGCCACTGCCCCAAGGCCACCCCAGGCTGGCAGGGCGGGCACCGTGCCCACAGCTGCCCCTGGGCCTGGTGGCATCCTCGGCACAAGGTGGGGACAGCCAGGGCTGGCAGAGGGCGGCTGTCGGGACACGTCGGGGACAGACAGACAGACAGACAGACAGCAGCCCTCCCTGTTTGCTGCCCTGATACTGCCAGCTCCTCACAGCACTGCCCGAGCAGCCAGCTCCAGCCTTCCCGTGCGGCCAGCACGGTCACAAAGGCACAGAGAAACAAGAGGATAACCTGGAAATCCAACTTGTGTACTTAGCAAACTGATTATTTATTTTCCTGCGCTATGGATGCCTCTGCCCCTGTCAAAGCCAACGTGTTAAATTTTCACAGTGTATTATAAATCATATACAAAAAGAAGAAAAGCAGTGACCTTGTGTGGTGTGAAGAGAACAGGTTTTGGGGGAATAAAATGAAACCGAGGCCAGAGCAAAGGCTCGGCACTCCCCCCTCAGTTCATAAGTGCATCATGGACTCGAACTCGTCGATCCGCTGCTTGGTGTTTCCTTTGCGGATCCTCCGGTACGAGATGGTGTTGTACCTGGAGTAGCTGTGTCTGGAGATGTCGTTCTTCTTCCCCAGGCCGGGCTGCTCGCCGCCTTTCCCCAGCGTGGAGTTGCGCTCGGGGCTGCCCGGGGGCGATGCCTGCTTGTCGGGCTGCTGCCGCCCGGGCCCCTCGCTGTTCTCCTTCTTGATTTCAATCACCTGAACCTCATCTTCCTCCGTGTCCTGCTCCTCCTCTTCCTCCTCCGCCTCCTCTGCATTCCCTCGGGGCTCGGCGCTGCCCGGCAGGGTCTCCGTGCCCGCTGTGCCACCTGGCCCTGCGCGACACCGGGGACACCGGGACTGCGGGTGGGGGACAGCACCGGCTCCTGTCCCCAAATTCAACACCGAGGACACAGGGACTGAGGGTGAGTGGACAACACGAGCTCCTGTCCCCAAACTCGCCATCCCTGGCATAACACGGCCAGGACGGACCCCAGCACCAGGGCAGCCTGGGGACACTCCCTGGGCTCCTAAAACCATCCCTTGATCTTTTTACTGCATCCGTCTATGGGAAAGGGAAGGGAAAGGGAAGGGAAGGGAAGGAAAAGGGGAAGGGAAGGGGGAAAGGAGCCGTTCTGCCCGCAGTGCCCAGCTGTGCCCCCCTGGGACGTGTCCCTCGCTCAGCAGTGGCCACCCCGGCTGCGGTGGCCATCTCCCATTTGCCCTGTTTGGCACGTCTCTGCAGTTAATGATGCCTTAGTGTCGCAACAAATGGTCTATTCAAGGTTTTGCCTGTGGGGTCCAGAGTATTAATTAGACTAAATTGGTTGGGTACTAAAAAGCTGCCTGCAATTTCGAGATAAAGTGCTGTGGTTGCAGGGCGGGTGCAGGGGGCCCATGAGAGATCCTTTAATAGGTTTTATTGTGTGCTCCTAAAGCAGCACAGCTGGAATATGGATGTCAGCTCTACGTGGGAAAGCCTCCACCGCTATTCACGTCCTCACAGCCTCGGCAGTTGCTATGAAATATTAATTTGCCCATGACAAATGTTCGGATATTTTTCCTTTTGTTAATGGAAGTAGGCTTTGCTTGCAGGGCACAGCCCATGGCTCATTCAGAGCTCACTTCAAAGCTCAGGGCAGAGCATCACCAGAAGCTCCTGGTCCAGCCACCCTCGTCCCACCACTGCCAAAGCCAAGGAGACAGGAGAGCCAGTGGTAGGAGATGAGGACAGGAATAAAACCCAAAACCCCCCCTTGGAGAGAAGTGGCTGTTCTGCTCTAGTAACACACCACAGAATATTCTTATTTTTGGAGAGGTGGCTGCAGTTTGCACAGTGAATTAGATATCTTCAGTTCTGTATATACTCAGTACATTTTTAACTATGACCAGGATGGCAGTGACCCCCCTGCAGCCCTGCTCACCACAGGAGGTGGCTGAGGCTCCAGCCTTGGCTCCTGCTCATCTCCACCATTTTCACCCAGAAACGAGCAGAGCAAGACCCAGGAGCAGGAGTTCAGCAGAGCAATTTTATGTGGATACTTGGGCATTGGGGGATTCAACACGTGGTGAATCAGGCAGGAAAAGAATTTGGGTTTTGTCACCACCAGCAGCCTCACGAGGCTCTCCCCTGAGCATGCAGCAGAAGATGGAGTATCCCCCAACCTCATGAGGCTGTCGGGGGCTCCTGGCTGAAGACTCCACGATGCTTGAACACCCCCTGGTCAATGAGATACAAAACCTCCGGAAGGAAGGTACCAGCTGTGGTTTCTACGGTGCAGCAACTCACAGGTGAGGAATGAGTCACTGCTCTCTGGAACAGAAGGGTCTGACCCAATTAAACAAAAATAATAACCACCTGCACTCTGCTACACACCAGGGAAACCCCACATCAGATGGCATCTTGCATTACCTTCCCCCGATCCCTGGCCATTGGTCCCTGTGTCCTGGATATCCGCTGCTCCCTGCTGTAGTGTCCCAACGTTCTCCTCTCGCTTTTCTTTGGGAAACACAAAGCACAAGACATGGGCTGATGGAGCAATTAGCGATGACAATCAGGTTTTAATGGCTGCAGATCAGCAGATTTTCAAAGCAGATTTAGAATTGCTCGTTTCTTTAGTTATGAGCTTTTGATTGCATCCCTCAAATGTGTCCCAGATTCTGAAATACTCCCAGTCGCTGTTACAGCGACCTCAGATTAGGAATTTTGGCAAACACACAGCACATCCCGTTATTCACCAGGCTACAGATAAACCAGAACTTTTCTCTCCCAACACTCAGAGACAGGCAGCCCCGAACGATACCTTGGCATCGCTTCTCTCCAGCAGAACTCTCAGGAGTGATGTCCTCTGCCAAGGAGTTTCTAGTTTCCTCCGGACTTTCCTTTGCAGGTGAAGTGTCAGGGCTCGTGTCCGCATTTGCGTACGGGACTGTCCCAACAGAATTTGGAATTTCTTCGATGCCGCCGGTGATCTGGAGCGGGCCGTGCCCCGGGGGAAGGCTCCCGTTGCACGCCGGCATGGTGGCAGCAGCTGGCACTTCTTCTGTCATGCTGAGGGCCGTGCCGTGCCCCTGCCCGGGCCCTGCTCCTGCCCCTGCCCCGGGGTGGGCAGCTCCTCGTCACCCCTCCGCCCCGGGGGTGTCCCCTGCGCGAGTGGCCCTGGCGCGTCCCCGCTGCCCAGCCCGCACCATCCGCTGTGCCCAGGGCTCGCCAGCCCAATCTGCGCCTCCCCTGTGGCCCAGGCACTGCCCGTTGCATAATTAAGTGCACCATTATAATTTACATAAACAAACAATCTGAAGCAAGGAAGCTTTTGTGCCGGCCCGGAGAGCGGGGCCGTGGGCATGTCAGCGCCGCGGGAATAAACAGGAGTTTGTGCTCTGGGCACAATGGCTCTTTGTGTCCCCGCTGGGCACAGGCACAGCCTTTGTTCTGACCCCTAATCCCCGCAGGGTGACCACCTTCCCCAGAGCTGCCACCTAACCCGCTTAACATTCCCCACAGGGATTGCCGTGGAACCTCCGGGGAACCTCGCTGGGGATGGATAAACCTGGAGAGGGATGAACCTCAACATGGATAAACCTCAGTGTGGGATAAACCTGGCCAGGGATGAACCTCAACATGGATAAACCTCACTGGGGATGAGCCTGGGCATGGATAAACCTGGAGAGGGATGAACCTCACCAGGGATGAACCTCAACATGGATAAACCTCGCTGGGGATGAACCTAGCCATGGATAAACCTGAGTGTGGATAAACCTCAGCATGGATAAACCTGGCCAGGGATGAACCTGAGTGTGGATAAACCTGGAGAGGGATGAACCTCAACATGGATAAACCCAGCCAGGGATGAACTTCACCAGGGATGAACCTCGGCATGGATGAACCCAGTCAAGGATGGACCCTGGCATGGATAAACCCAGCCAGGGATGAATTTCACCATGGATAAACCTCAGTGTGGATAAACCCAGTCAGGGATGAACCTGGCTATGGATAAACCCAACCAGGGAAAAACCTGGCCATGGATAAACTTCCGTGAACCATTCCATGATTCTCTCAGACCTAAGGCTGGCAGGATTGACACTGGAGTGTTTTGCAGAGGGAAGCTGGAGAACCACCCGAGCAGCACTGGGGCATTTCTGACCACAACTGAACTCGTCTCAACCCTGGTGCCCAAAGCCAGGCTTACATAACAGTGTAATCTCCTGCTGTGAATGACATTCTGTGTTTGTACAAACATTTCTGGTGTCTTTGGGCTTTAGCGTTTGGAAATCCTCTTGTGGAGTTCAGCCCCTGATTAGAAATGGACCCAAAGACTTTCCACTGCTTCTATCCATCTCTTGAGTTTGTGTCTCTAAATCAACCAGCTTTCATTATTGTTTTAAAATGAGTTTGGTGTGATTGATTTATGAAATCCATCCTTTGCTGGAAAGCTTTGTCCAAGAAAGGTGAACAGTAAGGTTTGAACGTGAGCTGACAATGTGCAGAGATTGGTGCCCTCAGGGGGAGAGGCTGAGTGCCCAGCAAGGCCTGGTGACTGGAGAGGAGAAGGTTCCTTTCTATTATCACAGAATCACAGAACCATTTGGGCTGCCCCAGCACCTCCTCGGGACTGCAGAAGGAAAAGGCAGCTCTGGGCCCTTCCCACCACGGGCAGCTGTTTGCAAACAGCTGGGCAAAACCAACTCTCAAGGGCAGGGAAACTTTCCTTCTAACCCCAGGGGGTGGATTGCTGCCTCTTCAAGCTTTTAAAAATGAAAAAGCTTTGTTCTGTCCAGTCTGGTGTGACACAGCCACAGCTGGATGTGGCAGCACCAACAGCAGCTGGCCCATGCCAGGGGCACGGGACTCACTCCTGGCTCTGTCTAAAGTGTGAGTGCCCTTGCCTCCAGGCGCTGGCAGGCCAGACACAGCTGCCCTCGATAACCACGGGTGTGACCTTCAGCTCAGAGCCGTGAGAGCCGGCTGTGACCACAGGGGAGCAGAGCCCGGGCAGCCGCGGGGGCGAGGAAGTGCTGGGTGTGGCTACAGGAACCAACCCAGCAGAACAGCGGGGGGAAGGCAGCGCCAGCATCCCTGGGACAGGATGGCAGCACCAGGGACAGACAGGATGGCAACACCAACATCCCTGGGACAGGATGGCAGCACCAGGGATAGGATGGCAGCACCAGGGACAGGATGGCAGCACCAACATCCCTGGGACAGGATGGCAGCACCAGGGACAGGATGGCAGCACCAACATCCCTGGGACAGGATGGCAGCACCAACATCCCTGGGACAGGATGGCAGCACCAGGGACAGGATGGCAGCACCAACATCCCTGGGACAGGATGGTACCCGAGAGGCAGCCCCAGCATCCCTGACTCAGGGATGCAGGATGGCAGGACCTGGTGGGAGGGTCAGGGCACTGGCAGCACTCAGCCGAGCAGTTTAGTCCCCTTAGGAGGTCAGGCTCTGCAGCATTCATTAAATTCATTGAAATGTTCGGTTTAAACTCCAGTTGCATTCATCGAGGACCAGCTGCACTTTCCTCTGCAGTAAACTTGTGTTATTAAACTCTTTAAAAAATTCCAAGTTGTAAATCCTGTTTTTCACAATCCTCAGCCCCTGGGGGATAAGCAGAGGAAAGGTTCCATTGGTTGTTGGGAGCTCTCCAACCCCTCCAACCCCTCTGTGATCAGTAGAACACCTCTGCTGCTGGAGCTCCAGAGCACATGGAGCAGAGCCCCAGCCCTGGGGTCACTGTCCCGTGCTGCCTGTACACCCACCCTCCACCTGCCCCACTCCCCGCAGACACAGCAGGACCCACCCAAAGTGCTCTCTGCAAGGAGAAATGCCATTTTAAAAAGCTGTTGCGGTTGCTTTTCTTTCTGAGCACTTTGGCTGCCTGTCAGCTCCCTCCTCCCCCAGGCTGGGGCACAGCAGAGCTCGGTGCGTGTCACCACATCCTGTTTGTGATGGTGGCTGAGATCGTGACATGTTGTCTTCTTGTAGCACCCAAAGTGTGCTCTCACCCTGCTGGGAGAGCATCCCTTCTTCACTCTGCAGCCTGTGGGGTGTTCAGGCTCCTCCAGCCTCCCCACACTCACAGGAAGTTACTCTGTCTCAAACTCTGGCACGTTAACCCTTCATGCCAAAAGAAATCACACCTTTGGACTGTAAACTGCAATAATTCATGGTCCCTTTCTCAGTGCTGGAGCTGTTGGAGCTGTCCATTCCCTTTGGGCACCACAACTCTCACCAGATGTTCTGGTTTTTCTGTCCTCGGCTGCTTTTGGACACCCCAACATCTGCCTTTAACTCAACATTTTGGCCAAATAGAACCAATCTCTGATTTTTTTTTCTCCTTTCAACTGGCGTTACTAGTAATGAAAGGTAGAACTATATTTTGAGACAGCAAATCATGGGCAAAAATATTGGTGCTTAGTGACAAGCTCCAGAGCCAGAGCAGCACCTGAAATGCCCCAGCCTGGGCTGGGGATGGGCTTGGACTCCAGGTGGGTGTTGGAGCAGAACCTCCTCTAGCACAGGGGCTGGAGAGGACCCTGGGCTGAACTGCAGACACTCAATGCAGCAGCATGGACAGGACATCACCCCCATGTACAAACCATGTGAGCTCTTCTCCTGACTCCCCTCCAGCCCCCCTGACCTTCCTCCAGCCCCCCTGACCTTCCTCCAGCTCCCCTGACCTTCCTCCAGCCCCCCTGACCTTCCTCCAGCCCCCTGACCTCCCTCCATCTCCCCTGACTTCCCTCCAGCTTTCCCTGAGCTGTCCATATTTCCAGCTACTTCATCCTTTCCCCAGAAACTACAGAGGCCAGTGCTGACTCTTCTGTCTTAGCAATGTTCATGAATTAGAGAAGTTTTGGGAACAGATTGTTTTTGTTTAGAGCTCATCTGGAGGGAAGCTATTGGATTTAGCCTGTGGTCTCTGGGAAACCCTGGCACAATGGTACCCATGGGTACAACTGCACAGGCTGCCCGGGCAACAGGCAAATGAATCACACAGGGTCTTTGAATTATATTTAAAATCTTCCAGTTGTATTTGAAAAATATCATTAGACTGCTCAGACTGAACAAACAGCCTGTTTCTATGTACTGAGAGGGAGCAAAATCTCTCTTTTTTTTCACATCCGTGGTCATGGTAATTAAACCCCACTTCACACATGCTCTCGGGTGATCCTTCCTGCTGGGGCCTTCTGGAGAGATGTGAGCAGGGGTGGAGTGCTGAGAGCAGTGGAACACGGACCAAGGGCAGCTCCTGCAGCCCCCGGGGCACTGGTGGGCAGGTCCCCAGCACAGCACTCCAGGGGAGTGCCTGAGTGTCCCCAACCTGCCAGTGCAGAGCCATCGCTGCTCACCCCTGGACAGCACTCTGCTCATCCCTGCAGGACAGCCCCCTGCTCATCCCTGCAGGACATCCCTCTGCTCATCCCTGCAGGACATCCCTCTGCTCATCCCTGCAGGACAGCCCTCTGCTCATCCCTGCAGGACAGCCCTTTGCCTTTTCCTCTCTTGCCTTAGAGAGGTCAGACCTGTGGGACACACAGAGCTGCTCCAGTGTCACAGGCACCACTGGCACCCCAGCATTGGCTCTGCAGAAGAGTCTGGGGCCATGTGCATGCTCAGGAGGGTCCTTTCCACTCCAAATCCTCTGGGACGACACAGCTTGGCAAGACATGGAATATCAGCACCTGGCAGAGGCTGCAGCTGCTCAGATCAAGCCAGTGCTGGGTTATCACAGTCCGTACAAGAGCTGCCAGGACCCAAACTGCCATTCCAGACACCACTGCCCAGGGGCTCTGTGCCAGGTGCTCCAGGCTCCAGCCTCTTCCCAAGGGGACTCTGCAACTGGGTTTAGTAGAAGCACTCGTTTTATTAAAGACCTTTGGAAGACACTGACTCCAGGAACAGGAAATAAATAGCTATCAATTTCGCATTCAATTAAAAACTGTTATTAACAGTAAAGTTCGCTGAGGAAGTTCTGCAAAGGTTCTTCACATTTTGGAGTCACTCATTTTTCACGTTAATGAAGAGGTCCGCAGCGTGCTCTGATTAAAAATGAAAGTAATTACCACCCCAGAGCCGTGTGGATCTCATCAGCGCTGCTGTCTGGGGAGTGCCCTGCGGTGCCACCGTGCTGTACCCACGGTGTGCCCCAGTGAGTGACACCTGAGAGCCACGTGCAGGGCCCGACATCGAGGGCGACACCTGCGACATCAGACCCGACTTTCTTCCTCTTCTACTGCCCGGTGAAAGCCTGGAATGAATTTGAGGAGTTGCTTCCGAACGCTGCCTCTCCTGCTCTTGCGCGGGAGGGTCCCGAAGCTGCTGGCCAGGCTGCTGCTCTCCCAGAGCGGGGACATGGAGCCGCTGCTGGCCAGGCTGATGCTGCGGTTCCTGCGCAGGGAGCTCCTGGCAGCGGCTCCGTCCCCGTCCCTGGGGAACACACAGTCGTCATCCATGCTGGACTGGCGGCTCAGGCTGTCTGCAGCCGAGTCCTCGAAGGCGCTGCCCTGGGAGAAGCTGTCCTCGCTGCCCACGGTCATGGAGCTGAGCCGGCTGCGGGAGCTGCTCTCGCTGGAGAAGCGCGGCTTGGCCGGGGAGAAGGGGCCCGGGGAGCTGCAGCCGCCGCCCGAGCCGGGCTCTGCCAGCTCCAGGGAGCCCAGCAAGGCGTTGTCATTCACCTCGCCTGGAAGCAGGAGCCAGAAGAGCGGCGTTAGCCAGCACAGGGAAGGTCATGGCCAGCCCCTTGGCACAGGCAGGGGGCCCACGTGGGCAGCTAATCCTGGTTCCGAGGTGCTCCCTGCACCCCGATCCCCGGACACTCCATAAAAAGCCCAACCCAGCCTCTTCCCCTTTTGCTAAGACCAGAATAAGAAGGGAAAACATTTTCCCACCCACATCAACTCATGTCCCAGGACTGGTGCAAAGAGCCATTGGTCCAGCAGCAGCCCAGCTCAGTACCCTCGGGACAGAAGCGCTCCCAGCCCAGCCCCTCGCCTTCACTAAGAGGGGAAAGAAGCGGAGCGCGGTTTGCGGCACGTACCGTGCAGCAGGAGCCGCTCCCGGGCCAGCAGCGCCCGCAGCTCCCCCCACCGCTGGTGCAGCGCCTGCTGTGGGGACACGGAATAGCTCTGTCAACCATGGAAGCACAAAGCACTCGTACGGAAAACTGTCTCTAAAAAGTGCAGTCACCCACAGGAAACACCCGTGTGTCCCGCTTTTACTCAGACAATTTTCCCAGAGTAGCAAATTTCTGCCAGAAAACACAAGTCTGCTCATGCTTGGGGATGCTCTGGCCACATCCAGTTTGGGAAAGGAGCAGCCTGGAACCTGGAGGGCACGGACCCCACCTTCACCCAGCTGGGGCAATGCTCTTCTGCATTTCCAGTGCTCTTCTGCATTTCCAGTGCTCTTCTGCAGCCCTGCCCAGCTCTGGAGCACCCAGCAGGACCAGGCACCCCACTCCTCCTCACAGCGTGGTGTGGGAATGGCACAGCCACCACCCCTATGGCACAGCCACCACCCCTATGGCACAGCCACCATCCCTGTGGCACAGCCACCATCCCTATGGCACAGCCACCACCCCTGTGGCACAGCCACCATCCCTGTGGCACAGCCACCACCCCTATGGCACAGCCACCATCCCTATGGCACAGCCCCATCCCTATGGCACAGCCACCACCCCTGTGGCACAGCCACCATCCCTGCCTGTGCTGGGAACAGCACCTGGAAACCCTGACAGCCCCCAGGCCATCCAACTCACAGCAAGGCTTCTCTCTCTCTGCTGCAGGGCAGCTCTTGGGGTAAAACCCACCCCTGCAGAGCTGATTAAAAACACAACCAGGTGAGGCTGTGCCTGGGGACAGCCACAGGACGCACCTGCCCACCAGTCCCAGGAATTCTGTGCAGCTGGACATTCCTACACCCAAACTGACCAGCCTGAGCTCACCTGGCATTGTGACCACATTTCTCCTCTATTCCTGGTTTCCAAAAAATCATAACAGAGGAACCAGGGCTGGGGGTGCTGGCAGCAGGAAGCCCATGGGTGTCACCCCCTGTCCCACAGACACCCCCCTGCCCCCATCAGCAGTGAACCCACTGCTCCATCTCCCTTTGACACTGGAACAGCTAATTCATCATGTTACCTTGAGAGCCTGCAGTTTGGTCTCCAGCTCCATTTTCCTCAGGAGCAAGGCCTCATTGACAGTCTCTAACCTGTGGGAACAGGTGATGCTGGCCCTGGGCTCTCCCAGCCCTGCCCTTGGGATTTCTGCAGGGCTGTGGGCAGCATGATTCAGGGGCAGAGGATATTGGGCCAAACCCCATCTGAGGGACAGACACCCACCTCAAGTAATTCCCTGAAGACTTTATCAAGTCCACGATTTGCTTGTGACCAAAGCCCTCGATGCTCACACCGTTGATGCTGGTGAGGATGTCCCCTGGCAGAGACACAGAGTGAGCACCTGGGCACACCTGCACTGCCCCACAGGAACAGCAGGGAGGAGCCCCGGGCTCCCAGCCAGGAAAACCCACGGGGAGTTACCAGTCTGCAGGCCAGAGAGATGGGCAGGGCTTTCCTCTTGGATTCTGCAGACACAAGTGCACACCTCCAGGGAGAAATCATTCTGGTGTGGAAACCTGATAGTCTGTCAACACCAAAGGGACAGAGTTACCAGTCCTGGAGCCAGGAAACCCAGTTAAAATTCAGTGCTTTTTCAATCAGAAGATGAGCAGAGTACATTACACACAAGTGAGATCAAAATGCTATAAGCCACCAATTAAACATGCATTTGTACAGCAAAAACAGTAGACACCTGACGGGTGCCTGTACACTGGGTTTGGGGGGAAAAGCAAACAAACAAACCTAGTTTTAAAGCAAGCTGGTTATTCAGTATTAAAAACTCTGTTACTTCAACCAAGAATATGTCAGCATGGGTGGGAATGGCTTTCTGGAAAGATGTCTCATGTTCCCAGGGGAACAGGATGGGTGGGACTGGGGCTTTTCAAGGCATTGACTCCTGTTCATCGGGAATGCTGTGGGGAGTCAGATGCTGCTACCAGACAGCTCAGTTTGCATGGGAACTGAAAAAACACTAAATTTTAACTTTTGTTCTTCTGGCCTCTGAAACTCGTCATCCACACACATTGCCACACTCCTCAAAGTGCTTTTTATTCTCGACTTACGCCTTTAACTAAACATTAAGTAACTCTAATTACTCTAAATCCCTCGTGTGGTTATGGGTGCTGACAAAAATTCAGAAAAATGCAAAATCCGATGCTGCAGCCCATCCGGATCCTGTGACAGCAGGAAACGTTTTCTGGTGACATGCAAAAACCACATCTGCTTCCTGGAAACCTGCCACTGCCACTTGTAACCCAGAGAGCTCGCACTGGATTCCCAAATTCTCAGCCAGTGTGGAACAAAGGGATGGAGGCTGGGGAAGTTCAGAGCTCATCTGGCCAAATCCCCCCAGTGATTCCACCTTTGGGCTCCCAGTAAAATTCCTGCTGAAACTGAGAGTGACGAGCGAAGAATGAGCTCCCTGCAGATGTAGACCTGCAGTTTCACATCATCTTATTCTGCTTTGCCTAAATTTATCTCCTAGTGATGAAACCACAGCTTCTAAGCATCCTCAGTATCTGACAGATGCTGCCTTTCTGCAGCCCAGACTTTCTATGAAGTGCTCACTCTGAATGTGTGTTCAGGAAGAAAACGTGCCAAGAACAATTATTTTTAATCAGAATGCCACGTATAATGAAAATCTGCCCTGACAATTTACACAAAAGCCCAATAATTGACTCAATTCTCCTCCCTTCTGAAAGCTCTCCTCTGTTCACGAGCTGAGCGCTGACCCCCTCATTAGTCACAGACCCAAATTGGGCAAAGTTAAGCTTTTCCTAATACACTAATTTCACAGAAAATACTTTTTCCCTTTGTGTGCAGAGAGAAGAAAGCACTTTGAAAGTGCCGTGCTGCTGGCAGGCAGATCCCTCTGCTCCCAAACGACATCTCTTTATTCCTGGCATCATTTTTTAACTCTAGACAGGATTTTAGCAGACCTGCTGATTAGGAGTTCCCAAAAACCCACAAACATAAAATCTCCCTCTAGCAGCACTCCTGGTAACACTCTGGGTCTCCTACTTGATGACTTCCTGACTTCTACACCAAACAGAATCTCTTCCTATGTGATTTAACTCCTGCCCCAAAAGTCATGTTTAGCAGGTATTTATGGAAAAATATCCCACTATTGTATATGTTCTTCAAAAGTACCTATCTCTCTGTGCATATTAAAGGTGTTAGCAAAACACCAGTATAAGGTAATTTTTAGGAGAGGTTTGGATCTCTTTCATTTGAAAATATTCTCATATGCAATTCTCCCCAAAACATTCACTTATGGAGGTAAGAAGGCCCTGTCATTGCCTCATATTTGGATTTGGATGAGATTTCTCCTACATTCAACACTCTGACTTGTGAGAAGGACAGAAATTCTCATCCGTGACCTTCACTGTGAAAAAACCCTCAGAGAAACATCCCTGTCTCGTGTGAGTGCTGTAAGCTCTTCAAATTCCACAGGCTCTGACAGACACCTTCCTCTGCTCTGGCCTGCCTTAACCTGATTTTGAGGCTATGACACTTCAGACTCTGCACCACATTTTGTTTTCACTGAACCAACTTGTCATGTAAGTCTTACCTGGATTTCAAACCCAAACGTCTCTTTATCTTCTTTCAATATAGCAACGAGGTGCCTGCACGAGGAGCACACACAATTCCATGGGGATTGCTCTTGTGGGACTGCATTTCCACCCAAAACTGTGGGGTGTCCCCCACCGTCCCTCCCTGTGCCCCTGGGGTGTCACAATGCCATGGGGTGTCACCACACTGTGGGGTGTCACCATGCCATGGGGTGGCACCATGCCATCCCTCCCTGTGCCCCTGGGGTGTCACCATGCCATGGGGTGTCACCATGCCATCCCTCCCTGTGCCCCTGGGGTGTCACCATGCCATGGGGTGTCACCATGCCATCCCTCCCTGTGCCCCTGGGGTGTCACCACGCCATCCCTCCCATGGTGGTGCTGCCTCTTCCCCTGCTCAAGCCAAAGGTCACAAGTGCACCTGCCTGTCCCAGGTGCTGGTACCACTCTCTGCCCTGCACCCCGATCCCACTTGGACTGGCACAATTCCTGGGATGCACATTTCATCAGAAAAAGCCAGGACAGTGACTCTAGAATCACAGAATCCTACAATCATACCTTTGTGGCTTGGAGGAGTCGTCCAAGGAGCTGGATCGGGCCAAGGTGAGCTGTGAGCAGAAACAGGAGAGGAAAGGCATCAGTAGGTTTGTGGTTCTTTGAGGTACACAGATAAAACCAGCGGTTTAGAGAACTAAAAGCAGCTGCTGGCATTTCACCAGCACCTTCACTAACACAGCTCTGCCTTGGTCAAAAGAGAGCTTGACCTTCCTGACCAGAAGGAAAAGCATCTGCAGGTCAAATCCTCTTGTCAGATGCTGGTGGCGAGCTCAGAGCACAAATCACATCTTGGTGTGCCAAGAGCTCATCTCACTTTCGTCCCTTTCCTCTAAAATTCTCTGAATATTTATAAATGGAACACCTGCCAGGAGAGGCACAAAGCACCCCCAAGGCAGAGCCAGGGGGTGTAAAGAGCCAGGTCAGTGTAAAAATGGATCCTTCCCATAAAAGTGAACCATGAATAGGGGATTCCATCATCAGTGAGATGTTTGTAGTTAACACAGCTGATGGCTCAGCAGGATGGAATGGTGCCACAGCGTGACCTCCTACAGGAACAGCGACTTCATGGACGTGCATCTACTTGTGGAGGGACAAGGGGAGGAGAGAGAGGCCATGGAAAATCCATCTGGGGGGAGAGGAGAGGGCTGACAGCAGGGCCACACCTGGGAGAGGGACCCCTGCCCTGGGGACAGTCCCTGCACTGTGACCTGGGCCCTGATGGAACTCAGCTTTACCAGCCACAGCCACATCACAGCCTGGCAGTCACTGTCAGCCTCGCCCTGCCACTGGCCACTGCCACACCGGGGCTGGCTCTGCACACCCAGGGCTCCCCCACAGCCCAGGGGCTGGAGCCACCCGGCAGCAGCGCTCCCACCGCTGGCTCTGGCTCTCCCTTATCCCCTGACACAAGAAACAAGAAAAGGTTAAGGATCTTCTGCAGCCGAACAAAGCAAAGCCTTAAGCGCACAGACACTGCAGGCGATTTTCCTGGTTGTACTTTCAGATTTTCACGTCTCACAGACACTTTCTGTCCAGGCTTCTTCGTGTCAGACAATAGCCCGGAGCTGGAAGTGCTCAGCTGTGGATTTATGGCCACAGTTGTGCGGGAATCCCGTGGTGCTGCCCTGTGCTGCTCTGGGGGAAAGCCCAGCCCAGCCCAGCAGCCCCACAGCTGTACAGAAACACCCCCAAACCCATGGGAATGGAACCTGGTGGGCGCTCTGTGCCAGCCTGGCAGGCAGAGGGCAGCCAGGCCACCCGACTGAGGTAAATGCACATTTGGAGGAGCTCCCAGAGAACACAAACCCTCCCTGGCTCCCAGCACGGCTGGAAATGGAGAGGAGCTGGGCCGGGGCCGGATCTCCGCTGCCACCGCCCTCCGCAGCCCGAGCATCCCTCGCAGCGCCTCCCGCGCTGCCAAAACTCCTCTGCCATCCCCAAACGCGGCCCGGCTGAGGTGCCCTGAGGGCGGTCACCCTTCCAGCACCCCGCCAGGAGCATGGCGAGCCCGAGGGTCCGTGTGGAGCCCCCGCCCTGCCCGTACCTGCCTGCGCCCTCGGGGCAGCGTGCCCACCGTGCTGGCCAGGTGCTGCATCCTCCTGCTGTCCATCGGCAGCGCCTGCTCGCCGCCCACAGGGCTGGGGTTGGGCTGCAGGAGCCGCCGCAGGGCCATGGCCAGGCCCGGGGGCCAGGGGCTCAGGGCTCAGGGCGAGCTCTGTGCCATGGCCGGGCTGCCACGCTCCGGCAAGGGCGAGAGCCGAGAGCGGAAGGGCCGCCACGTGATGTGTGGTTTAGGTGCGAGTTACACAAATCCCTCCTAGCAGAGCCCCAGGCTCTCGGTGTGCCTTGTGCTCACACGGCAGTTAAGAATCAGCCTTGGCACTTACAGAAATCTGCTTAATTTTTCCATTCCTGCACACAGTTCTCAGCGCAGCTGCTGCTTTGCCAGGATTTGTCCTTACAGCCCTGCCTGCCTCGGGCACTCACCTGACCTCAGCCTGCTCAAACTCTGACTTGCTCGGCATCCCTGGCATCCCTCCACTCACCTTTGGCAAAGATGGGGAAATAACATTGCCTTTGGCTAATGGTGCCCGTGCAGGGCCTGCAGCTGCAGAGAGGGAAACAAGAGCTGAAGGCAAGCAGCAGGAGCTGGAGGTGTGGCCGAGCGAGGGCAGGACAGTGCCCTCAGCACAGCACTCGGGTCCCCAAGGGACCAAGGGGTTCCCTGGCACGGCAGGTCTGGGCACACACAGCAAAGGCCATGCAGAGTGTCCAGGACAGGGCACAAGGGGCTGCTGTGGCAGAGCTGGGACAGGCATGGTGCCAGGGAGAGCCCTGGCCAGGTGTCATCCCTGCACCTTTCCTGGGTGGCCAGAGCTCGGGCAAGATTTATGACTCTGAGAACTTCTGTCTTGGTTGGTTTTTCTCTCGTTATTACCCGCCCTGTTGTTATTTCAACGTGGCTTTGAACCCTCCTATTTGAACCATCATTCAGCCTTCAGATTCCCTGTTCCTGGATGTGATGGAGAAGCACGGGAAGCAGCCCACTGCCACTGCAGGGGATCCCCTCTTTGCCCTGGATGGCTGAAGTGTCAGTACATCCCCATCCTGAACCTTCATCCCTCAAAAGCCTGCACCTCTGACAGAGAAACAGCCTGGCAGGAAACATCTGGTCCTCCCACCCGGAGGAGGGCCGGTGGCTGCTCTGTGACGAGTGCCTGCGGTCCCCGTGCCTCTCCTGGCGGACAGACAGCGACAGGGAAGTGCTGCACACCACAGCGGCACCGCAACACCGGATTTAGATGTCTGTCCTTCACCTCCGAGTTCCTTGCGGGAACCCCTCCGGGTTCAGGGGAAGAAAAAATATGTTTAAAAAGCACAGCAGGCAAGAGGGAAAGCTCTCCCCCTTTTCCTGAGAAAGCTTTCTGCGCCCCCGGTGTCATCTGCTCACTTGCCAAGGCTCACTGAGAGCGCGGGGAGCTGGTGACTCAAAGCCTCTTCCCCTTTTCCTGCTCACGGTCACCCACCACGCTTGAAAACAAAGCGCGTTTCGGTTCCTGCGGCAGCCCTTTCTGACGTTCCTGAAACCCGGTGACTCATCTGCAAACAAGCTGAGGGCACAAATAAACGACACCTCTCATCAGAGCACAGACAGGGAGCTTGGTGCGAGCGGCCGCAGCAGCCCCGCCACCCTCCGCTGCCCTGCGCCCCACACCCCCGGCAGGTACCCCACACCTCCGGCAGGTACCCCACACCCCCAGCAGGTACCCCACACCCCCGGCAGGTACCCCACACCCCCCGGCACGCCTCCATCCATCCCAGCCCGGCTGCTCCTCCCTGCAGGGCTCAGAGCCGCCCGGAGCCGGGCCAGGGGCAGAGCGGAGCCCCGCAGTGCTCACACATGTCCAGGTGGATCACACATGTCCAGGGAGCCCTGCAGGGACTCACACATGTCCGGGGAGCTCACACGTGTCTGGGGAACCTGCACAGCTCACACATGTCGGGATGCTCACACATGTCCGGGATGCTCACACATGTCCGGGATGCTCGCACGGCTGCCCTGCCCCATCCTCCTGCTGGCTCTGTGTCAGGGCTGGAGAGATGCGGAGCCTTCCTCCATCCCGGATTGCTCCACGCCCTGTCCAGCCTGGCTGGATCGTTTGCAGGGTGGAGCCCTCGTGCCCCCGAGGCTGCAGGGCCTGCAGGGTTTCTGCCCACGAGCACCTTACCCGGGCAGAGGGAAGAAGGCATCCTCTGTGGGACACAGCCCTCGGGGCTCCGGAGCCGGCTCCTCTCTCAGCTGCCAGGTGCACACCCCTGGCTTCTGCGGAGCTGATTTACCGTGGAAGAAGAAACGGAAGAGTTATCCCTTTCTCCGTCCCTCCCCGGAGCGGTGTGTGCCCAGCCCGGTGTTCGCTGCCCGGGGCCGGGGACAGGAGCGCCTCCCGCTCACAGCGGCTGCTCCACACAAATGTGCTGGAAAAGAACATTTCCCGGGAGGCAGGCACTGCTCCGGCTGCTGGAGGAGCAGCACGCAGCTCTGTGTGACAGACAGACGGACAGACGGACAGACACTCACCCGGCATGGCCAGGGGATGGCAGCCGCTGCTCGCCCATGGCTGCTGCTGCTCCACCGGGAGCGGAGCGGGGCTGAGCCACGGCCCCTGACACCTTCCTGGAGACCGACAGGGACCAGAGGGATCACGAGTGGTTGCTATAGTACAAAGGTCTTTTTAAGAGAAAAAAAAAAAAAATTCCACGATATTCTTCAAAAGTTTCTCGGGTCACAGCATGGCAGATTTCATTTTGACATGCCTTAAGTTAAAATAAAGCCTGGCTTAAATTCCCAGACTATGTCAGGGGAATTTTCAAGCATACACACTCTAGAACTGAGGTGCTCAGGGTGTGTTGGTCCCAGATTTACACCGCTGAAAATCTCAATAGCTGGAAGGGCAGGATCAGGGAGTCTTGTATGAAAGGGAGCTCAGTGAGAGCTCACACTGCTGTGGGTGCAAGAGCCACGAGTGAAAATTTCTACAGGGTCACACAGGCTCTGCCCTTCTCCCCTCACACGATGAACATAAGAACAGTTTCAGGCCACAGGAACACGAGGGCAGAGTATGCTGAATTTATTAAAATTGCCACGTTTTCCCAAATCCGCATACAAAATACAACAGCTAAACCATTATTTACATCCAGGCAACTGCAATATCAAGCAATAACTTGAGCAATAGTTTTAAAAATAACTCTGCAGTGTACACAGATCAGATATTTCACAACACCAGGGTTGAAGTTAGCACTGCACCGCTATACTTAGTTCAGAAATATTACAGTGTCCCAGATAAAATACTAATGCTTCTCTTAAAAACAGACAACTCAGGAAGTGGTTTGCAGATTGACAAAACATGACAGGTTTTTCTTAGGGACTGGGAATCACAGCAGGCTTAGACACAATGTCATAGCTACATTCAAAATACATCTGGTCCATTTATGCCAAAAATACATTCAGTGTAAGTTACAATTTATTGCACATTTCTTATATTCTGTAGAAATATATTGTACCTCAACGCTTATTCCCTGTACATTCATAAATATTGTTCTGCCTGTCAGAGCAGAACATGGACATCTTTCCCTGGAAGCTGTGGGGGGATTGGGGTCCCTCAGCCTGTGGGGATGATCCCTGGGATCACAGACACAGCTTGCACAGCCAGAGGAGGGGACACGATTGCAGAGCTGCTGGGGCACACAGGTGCTGCCCAGGGCTCCCAAAGGACACCCCAAGGACACCCCAGGGACACCCCAGGGACATCCTCACAGACCCCACAGCAGGGAAGTTTGAGCCATAACACAAAACAAGACAAAAACGGGCTCGTGCCTCTCGCCCTGTGCCCCCAAAGGAGGGCAGAGCCTGCACCCACCTGTGGCACCCAGCGTGGCCAGAGCCCTGCAGGGCCACCCCTGTCCCTGCCCTGGGACATTGTCCCCGGACAGACCCCAACTCCTCCTCCCCGTGAGCAGGGAGCTGGGGACAGCCTCGAGCCCCTCCTTGGCACAGCAGCTCTGGGCAGACGGGCACCGAGAAGAACTTGCCCTGCTCAGAGCCCAGACCCATTGCAGGGACTGGGAATATTTCTAAACTAATTTATTTGTAATTCCTGAACCTAGTACCAAGCAAAGAGGTGACATAGCAGTGACTAAAATACTGTAGGGTTCTTTATATTGTCACGTGAGGAATGAGCTTGATTAAGTGCAAATTATAAAAGTAGGAAAGTGCAGAGGAGATTACAGCCTGAATTTCTAAAGGAGAGTCTGGGGGCAGCAGTTCAAGTAACACAAAAAAATTTAGGTGCTACAGGAAATATTAATTAACTTTCCCTTTCAGTGTATAATCCCTACATTAAACTTTAGATTGTTATTAGAAGCAAATAATAAAATATTGATAACTGCCTCCAGTTAGAAGCATCAATTCAGAGAGGCTGAATGTGGTGACAGGTTTTGAGCATCCTTGACCTTGAAAATTTTCATGAGTTTAAGAACTTGTGCTTTAAGTGAAGATTACCAGGAACATTGTAACCTCTGAGGAAACCTAAGCCTCTCTAAAGTGCACAGAAGTGTTTCGGCATAACCTCTGTGCTTAAATTAGAGCAGGACAAACCCACATGGAGGGGAAAGGCCACTAAAACAAGAGTTCTTTGGAGTTTTTCTAAAGGAGTGTAGAGTTTACAAACATTTCAGAGCTCAATACAACAACATCAGTCCCTTGGCTCAGTTACGTTCAACTCTGGTTGATCAAAATGTACATTCACTTCTCAACAAAAGAGAAAAGAAAACCAGTGCAAAAATACGGAGTTAGGTGAAAAGCCAGGGCAAACAGACCATAATGTCTGATGCCAAGAGATATGTCCAGGGAAAAGGTTAAAGCTTTTAAAGGCTGGAGGTTTAAGGGCTGGAGCTGTGACCTGTGTGAGGAGTAGCTGAGCCTGAGCATCCTCCACCCACGCTTCCCGGCCAGGCACCACAAGGGTCTCGTTCAAATTACTGGGCTGGTCAACAATTTTTAGAGACTCCAGGGGGGAAAACTGGAAACTGAAACTCTTTTCCCATTTAAAAAAATAAAGCTTTGATTCTTCCTTTTTAAGATAAGTATTTTTTTTAAAGTATGTTCTTCTACATACTACAAGAACAGATGCTGGATCTTAGGACTGCAAATTTTTTTTTATAGTCAAGACAGCACCAGGCTGTGGATCACGCAGTTGCCAAGATTAGCCCTCAAACAGCCAACAAAGTCACATCACCGAGCCCCACGGGGTACTCCTGTGGCTGAAGACATAAGAATTGAATCACAGAACCCCAGAACGGTTTGGGTTGGGAGAGACCTTAAAGCTCGTCTCGTTTTACCTCCCTTCCCCCAGACCAGGCTGCTCCATCCAGTCTGCCGTGAAAGTCTAAGACAACTCTGATTATATCTGAGAAACCACGGGAAAAAAGCGCGCCAGAGCTCCGGGAACGCGGGGCACACAAAGCCCTGCGGCACCAGCAGTGCCTGCGCTCCGGGGTAAATTGCAGCAAAGGCTATTCACGGGAATTAGCAGCCACCAAACACCCTCAGTGTCCTGCGGGTGAGAACACCAGGGTGGAACCCGAGTGACGATGGCACTGCTGACCACCGCACTCAGCAAAATTTAACGCTTTCCTCCCCGAAATAGCTCCAGTCCAGAGATTTTGCCCCAAAGGCTGATCTGGCACACCGTGATCTGCCAGCAGCTGCCACGAGCTGCAGGGGCCACATCCGATTTCTGCAACGCTTTGCTATTCTGGAAACATCTTTGGGATTCATTTCCATGGGCCAGCTGGACTTAAAGAACCATAAGACTAAGAATTGTGTAATTTTGTCTATTAAAAACATGCCGCATTCCAAATATGTGGGCCACGGCATGGGCCAAAATTCACAAAATTCCAGAACATTGTTGAATTTTAACACAACCCACTTTGCTGGTTTGTGATATTATGGAAACGTGATCAGAAATGTTAATATTCATCACTAGCCTGGTGCTGTTGCAGAATTCTGTAAGAAACCACTGAACAGGTTGCATTGGCTTTTGTTAAAGCTTCCCCCTAATACATCAAAAGGCACTAAAAAAGTGCTGCCAGTAATTGGAAAGACATTGCTAAAAATAAATATTTAGTTTAGGTAGAATTTCTCCCATTCCATTCCTTCACAACTAACAGAAAAGTATTGCCTCTGTTATTTTTCCTACTAACCATTAAAAGGAAAAGTTGTCCTTTGATCTGTTCTATGAACAAAAGACTCAAATTTTCACCATGATACTGTATGCGAAACTGGACAATAAAAATAAATGTTAATAGGGAACCGACTCATTTGTTCACACGTAGAGGAATTTTCATCTTTTCTAATTGCTTGGTTAATTATAAATATAGTAGTTCAAAATGCGTTTACTGATAACCCCTTTTCAGATCCCTGAAAAAAAAAGAAAAAAAGAAAAAAAAAGGTTAAAAAGCTGGGTTAATTTGGTCCTTTACTTGGTTTGAGGACAGAACACGAGGTTTGTCTCACAAGCAGCCTTTGGCCAACACCAGACACTTCCAGGACGTTTGGGGTCTGACAAGATGAAAAGCACAACAGCAAAAAGTATTTTTACACTGTCATGATGCTTTAAGCTCCTTCCTGCCATTCACCGGTGCCTGATTTACCAAAAAAACCCAAAGCAAGTCACGGCCTTGCTGTGTCAACCCCGAGCTGCGCGTCCCGAGCGGCGCTCGGGGCCGGGCACCGCAGCAGCGAGCGCATCACCTGAGGTAGAGCAGAAACAGAAAAACGATCACACGTGGGAGATGGAGAGCAGCACAGCCTCCCCGCGGCCCAGGGCAGCTCAGGCTTTGCAGTCCTCGGGCACGCAGAGCTGGGAGATTGTCTTCTTGACACGCAGCGCCGTGAGACGGGCGGCGCCGCTGGGGCGCCAGCACTCGCGCATCACCCGGCCCAGCACCCGCAGAGCCTGGGGAGAGACAGAAAAATGGGGTACAGA